CAAGGACTGGTGAGCAGAGGGGCGGAAGAGAGGAAAGAGTAGGAGACTGACAGTGCGCCGAGACTTGTTCGTTCTCCACCTTCCCAGCTCGTAAACCATCCCCTCTCCACTCGCCTAATTACCGTCCACATACTGCCCCTGCCTGCTCCGCTCCACAGGGTGGGCCTCAGCACTGGGAGCTTCCTCCTGCGCAACAACCAGGTGAGGCCCCGCTCTGCCGCGCTTCCGCCAGCGAACCTTCTTCCCTTGCCTCTCTCGTCGCGCTGTCACGCACTGCGTCCGAGTTGGTCTGCCTCTTCCTGTCCCCCCCTCCCCCCCTTATCCTCCGGTCCCCCTCCCCCCCTTATCCTCCGTGTCCCCCTCCCCCCCTTATCCTCCGTATCCCCCTCCCCCCCTTATCCTCCGTATCCACCTTTTGCCCCCCTGTCCCCCGTGCAGTGGTCTCTGGATCTGCTCACCAAGTGGGCGGCGATGGGCGCCAGGGGAAGGGCCAGGGAGGAGGCGGGCAGACTTCTGTCGGCAAAGCTCAAGGTAAGCTCAGAGTGCTGGTGGCAAAGAACAAAGTGCGTTGACTGAGAGAGTACAGTGAAGTGGGCGCCCATGGGCGCCAGCGGCAGGGCCAGGGAGGAGGCGGACAGAGAGCTGACGGTGAAGCGTTAGGTGGGCTGTGACTTGTATGGGCTTATCTCAGGGTGTGTTGAGCTTAGAGTGCGAGGCGGGCAACCAGTCGGCGCTGGTGAGGCTGCTGGTGGGGCAATGCAGGTCAGTGCCTTCGTGCTGATTTGATATCTCTCTCTCTTCCGACCCTCTCTGCTTCGTCTTGTCTCTCTGTATTTGAGTCGACTCAAAAGCATCCGCCTCATCTTGCCTCTCTCTTCACTCTCTCAGGGTCGCCAAGAGTTCGAAGCGGATGACCAGTCGGCGCTGGTGAGCCAATGCAGGACGACACCTCTGTGCTCATCTGATTCGCTGTCTCCTCTTCGCCTTCCCTTCTATTCTCCTCCCCCAGGGCCGCCCCGAGTTTGAGGCGGATGACCAGTCGGCGCTGGTGTGGCTGCTGGTGAGTGGGCGGGAGCGGTGGGGCCGGCACGTGCACCTGGAGAGCAAGTTTTATCTGCACGGCTACTGGGTCAACCTCGTCAACAGGTGGGACAACAGATGGGTTGACCTGGTAAACGGTTTAGCTGCCAGTGGGGCGGGCAGGTCAACAGGTTCGTTGCTAGTGGGTCAACGAGTGAGCTGCTAGTGGTCCAGCACGTGCACCTAGAGAGCAAGTTCTACCTGCACAACTACTGGGTCAACCTCGTCAAGAAATGCGTTGACCTGGTCAACGGGTTAGCTGCTAGTGGGTCAACCATTTGCTCCTAGCTGGTAACCAGATCAGCAGGTGGGGCAGCCTGTAGACTGTGGTGCATGCCATGTGCCAGCATGGGCGAGTACGACACCAACCAGTGCCATTCTTTCCCCGTCCCTCGTCCCTTGTCCCTCTTCCTTCTTCCCTCTTCCTTCTTCCTTGGCAGGTTTGAGGAGATGATGGAGCGCTTTCACGCGGGCTTCGGCGACGACCGGTGGCCGTTCGTGACGCACTTCGTGGGGTGCAAGGCGTGCGGCACCATGGGCGAGTACGACGTCAACAAGTGCCTCGTGCACATGAAGCGCGCGTTTGTCTTCGCCGACAACCAGGTCGTCCAGCCGTACGGGTTCAAGCACTTACACTTGAACAGCAGCGTCGTGGTGCCCCTCGTGAATGTTACCACGCGAGCGTGGATCGCCGAGACGCACTATGAGAGGAAGCAGCAGCAGGTGGCGGAGAAGAGGAAGAAACAAGCGGAGGAGAAGGAGAGGCTTGAGCTGGAGGCGAAGCGAATGGCGGAGGAGCAGGAGAAGTGGCGGGAGGAGGAGGAGACGAGGAGGAAGGAGGAGGAGGCGTGGAGGGAGAAGGAGGATGCGAGGCAGCGGAAGATCGAGGAGGGGAAGCGAGTGAAGGAGGCTAAGGCGGCGGCTGAGAGGGAGGCGTTGAAGAAGAAGAAGCAGGAGGGGAAGGAGGGCAAGGGAGCAGCAGGCCTCGGGGAGCGAGTGGGGAGTGCAGGAAAGGGAGCGGGTGCTGTTGCTGTGAAGAACGTGACTGTGCCGATCGGGAAGAAGGGGATTCCGGAGATTATAGTGAATGATGAGGAGGAGGAAGAAGAGGAGGACGAGGAGGAGGAGAGTGTGCAAGACAGGAGGAAGATCGGGCTTACTAAGGCGGTGATGAAGCAGCAGAGGGCCGCCATGGCGAGAGCTGTGGTGGCTGCTAGTGCTGAGGACGAGGAGGAGAGAGCTGAGGAGGAGAGGGGGGGTGGGGAGGAGGAGGAGAAGGGGAGTGAGCAGGAGAAGGGGAGTGAGCAGGAGAAGGGGAGTGTGGAGGAGGAGAGTGCGGGGGAGAAGGGGGTGGGGAAAGGTGATGGAGGGGGTGTGGAGAAGGAAGAGGAGAGTGAGGAGGATGAGGAGGCGGAGGAGGAGAGGCTGGACAGGGAGAGGGAGAGGAGAAAGGGTGCGGAAGGGTTTGGAGGAGTGGGGGGAGTTGCTGATAGGGGCGATGATGGTGGTGGGGAGAGCAAAGAGAGTGCACGGAGAAACGAGGGTGCTTTGGAAATTGGTCAGGCGGAAGGAGGGGACGAGGAGGGAGGGGGCGGTGCAGTGGCAGAGGAAGCAGAGGAGAGGGGGGTTAGTGATGGGGAGGCAGAGGAGGCTGCGTCGAGAGAGGAAGGTGAGGAGAGGGGTGGTGAGGGGGGTGAAGAGAGAAGTGTGGATGATGTATGATCCGTGATGCAGGGCTGTGTGATGTGCGGTGCTGGAGAGGTAGCTCTGCCACCGGGCAGAATAACAAGGGCAGTAGACAGGGGGACAGGGGGACAGGGAGACATGGTAGGGATGATGTGCACTGATGTGGTGTGAGGGTGATCAGGAGTAGCAGCTGCTGGTAGGTTCAGCACCAGATGTGCGGATCCATGTCAAGATTGGCAATCTAGGTAGGATTTAGTAGTGTCGCCACTGTCAGGCATAAAAGCCACGAGTGGATGTAGCTCATGCATTGCTGACAAACAGTATTTGAGGTTATTTATGCGCTTTTGTACTCCCCTCATTCGACTTGATGCTACTAATGCACTTCTGGTAGCATGTGCTTCATCCTGTCCCGTCCCTCTTCTTGTGACATGGAATGGTCATACAATATGATGAGCCATAACCACCATTGTAGTGCAGTTCATCCTAATCTAATATGTTCCATTTGCACATCACATTCACGTGTTTGTATGTATGGACCGGTTTTCTTTTCCACACCGTGAGAATATTTGGGTATGGGTAGACAATCTTCTCCCACCTGTCTTCACTAGGGTCATTGGTTTCCTCCATTTCCGGAGAGGTGTGGATGCGTCAAGTCAATTATGTGCAGCCATATTGTTCGTGTAGCTGGATTGTTCGAGGCTTCTTGCTTACTATTGATTTGTGAGTGTGGTGCTTGTTCCGTAATTCCACTTGTAACGAGACGGAAACCACTTCATTCTGGTCTGGTCAGACAGCCTATGAGCTGAGCCTGTCAAAGCGCAGCCCTGACTGATTCTTGCGTGTTAGTGACGTGGACGCGATGGGCTGTTTTGAGATTGACAGCCACAGACGCAAATTCTTGATTCTAGAAGCGTGATAAGATCTGGGTGTTGAGGCTGGGTCTTCGTTGCGCTGTCACCACCTGTGGGGGCAAGCTGTTTCGTTTGGGGATGCTCCGAATATCTTGGAGGTGCCCGTGAAACAAACGACACACCCTAAAAGTTTGGCAAGTGTCCTGCGGTTGTGGCGTAAGTGGAGTGGGCTCTTTGACTCTCCTATTAAATATCGATATTTCATAGTCGTGCACGCTCACCCGTTTCAATGTACAGCGTGCCCTACGCAGAAGGTTGCGTGGCAATAGAAACAACGCCGCTTTTGTGGTCAGCTGTACCATTTGGCGGCCTTCCTTCCAGCCGTTCATTCTGTGCTGTAGTTTCACGCCCCAGCCTCCCTGGTTCACGGTGTGCGAGGTGTCAGTGTTGGCCACGCCCCGCTGACGCTGTGTTGCGAATGAATGGACGGGATGCACCGAACGTTCCACCCACCCCTGACCGGTCGTTCTAGATAATATGTCTGCTAGCAGACTGAAGTTGCATCTCCACTGTGGGTTGTGTGGATGAGAAATGTGTGTGAATCAATCAGCAGCATCACGGAGCCCATGATTTTTGCGCCTCGAAAGTGGGAGACGCCTGGCTGTCCTTTATCTTCGAAGCTCGAGATTCGGCCTGCCCTGACCACAAATTCCACATTGGAAACCTCGTGTGCCCTGCTCTCTGCCATTCATATCGCTCCTATCGGCTGGTTGGCACTTTTCCGCGCCCCGGTTGTGAGCCGTGATTTTTCACTGTCACTGAACGATTTTCTTTTGTTTCGTGGCTGCCAATGTTCGTCCGTGCCCCCAATCCTCATGGCTTCACTGTACAACAGACCCATACACCCGATAATCAATGTGCCAACCATTCTTTCAAGTGCCCAGTGGAGAAATCCAAGCTGTGTGCTGGGGGCGGTTCTGCTCGGTTTGTTGGGGATGCCCGAACCCAAACTGAATGCAGCCGAGTGGCTGTGGGGCGGGACGCAAGGGGCAAAGTGCAGTTTGGATAAGCATCCGTTCACCTTGAGCTAGAAGTCGTTTCTTATTCGCCAGTTGACCTGCTCGAGTTGTGCGGCCACCATCAACTCAGGTGCTTACCGCGCAGATTTTTGCCTGAACTCTCCCCTCCACACAGTTAAGGTTCGGTCTATCCCATCGCATCCTATCTCCCGTCCCGTCGGGTTCTATCCCTTCCATCCATTCTGCTGCTGCCGCTTCCCCGTCGCTCTTCCCAATCGCTCTTCCCCATCGCTCGTCCCCGTGGCCACCATTTGAAACGGCTTGGCCCTCGTGCGCCCTACAATCTCACTGTGCGAACACAACACAACCGCACCACTTTCCAACCAACGGCTTGAGCCACCTACTCCTTCCTCCGTTCGCCGCCCACTCCCTTCCCCTTACAAAAAGTCTCCCCCTATCATTAGCCAGTTCGCCTCTGATATCGTTCCCTGCTTTTGTGTAGCTCACCCGCAACGGTCTCAATCACGTGGAGCTGTAACCGCTCACTCCAACCGATTATCATAGCAGCGTGTAGGCTCGTCGCAATAGCGTCTCCCCTCGCCTTTCGCTCGCAGCAGCCATGCCGAAGCCGTGCGAAGCGTGTCAGTCCAGCACAGCTTTAATCTTCTGTAGAGCCGACTCCGCCTACCTCTGCCTGGCGTGTGACAGCAAGGTGCATGGCGCCAACAAGCTCGCCTCTCGCCACGAGCGCGTGTGGGTCTGCGAAGTCTGCGAAATGTCGCCGGCCGCGGTGACCTGCAAGGCCGACGCTGCGGCTCTCTGTGCGACGTGCGACGCCGATATTCACGAGGCGAACCCCCTCGCGAGTCGCCACGAGCGCGTGCCAGTGGTCCCCTTCTACGAGTGCCCCTCGTCGCTTCCCAGCTGTAAAGCCGCCCGTGTCCAGTCCGCCGCGTTCCACGGCGCAAATGGCGCTGGGGATTTCGTCGACGGCGACAAGCTCGGGTTCGAGTCGCCGGAAACGCAGGAGAAGGCGTTTTTGTCGAGACAGCAAAGCAACCAGTCGCAAGTTACGGCGGCGAACGCGGAGAGTTTGAGGAACGGGGCGGAGGAGGAAGATGAGGAAGAGGAAGAGGAGGCGGGTGGTAGAAACGGCAACTGGCTTTACCCCCCGCGCGCGCACCTCTATCCACACCACTCCGCCGCTGCTGCTGCCGCACCGCGGATGCCGCACATGCCGCCGCATATGTCGCCGTATATGGCGCCGTACATGGCGCCGCATATGGCGATGGCCGGCTCCATTCCCCCGCGACCAATGGTACCATCGCCTTACTTCCCCTACGCGCACTACCTGCCGCACATGCCGCCGCAGATGCAGCCGCAGATGCCCATGCACATTCCACTGCACATGTCGCCGCACGTCCCGCCGCCTTATCCGGCCTCGCCGCAAGTTCCCGCCACGCTTCCGCTATTGGACCGTTCGGCACGCGTCGCACAGCCCGCCGCTCCTAAGTTCCCAAAGATGGAGTCCGCTGATGTGGCAGATCTCCTGTTTGACGTCGATCCGTTCCTCGACCTCGAGCAGTACGGCGGCGGCGACCGCAGCGCAACGCCCGTCGACGCGAAACTCGCCTCGGCGGCCATGGCGGCGGGTAAGAAAGCGGCGAAAGAGAGCATGGCTGTGCCCGTGCAATCGCAAGACGAGGGCGCGTCGGCCGTGGTCGGTCGGCGCGAGTGCTCCCCTTCCCTCAACTCCTCGCCCACCCTCTCCGTCTCCTCTCGTGCCGACACGCACCTCGTTCCCAGCGGCAGGCACGCCGCCGACTCCGCCGCAACCGCCGCCGCGTTTGACGGCACCGCCACGTCATCCCGCGCGGCGCATCCCGCTTCGGAAAGCCCAGTCGCGCTGCCCTCCGCCTCCTCCCTCCCCTCCGCGTCGTCCTTCCCCCCGTCGTCGTTCGCTAGCCCCGGCCCGCTGCACCCCTTGGCGCGCGAGGCGCGCGTGCTGCGCTACCGGGAGAAGCGCAAGGCGCGGCGGTTCGAGAAGACGATCCGGTACGCGTCGCGCAAGGCGTACGCGGAGAGCCGCCCGCGCGTTAAGGGGCGGTTCGCTAAGCGCACAGAAATGCAAGCCGAGGGCGCTGGGTCGGCCGCCTTAAATGCAGCAGAAAGCGCGGCAGCGATGCATGCAGTGGATGCGTGTGGAAGCAGCTTCGAGGAGATGGAAGGGGAGGAGTTCAAGATGGAGGACGGGGTGGCCTGCGACCTCGACTTCGCCCTCGCTGACATCCCCTTCTCCATGATCCCCGCGTTCCTCTGAAGCGGCGGCCGACATTCCCCCACTAACTCACGCTGTGCCACCCTCTGTAGCTGCTACCGAGATTCCCGCGAATCATGGAAGGGAGGAGTTGCGGAGGGCGGAGAGGGGGTTTCCTGCAATCTGGACTCGGCACTCGCTGGCTGACGGCCCCGGCACCACGGTCTCCGTGCTCCTTTCAAGCAGATCCAGCGATTCCCGCGTTTCGAGGTGACTTTTGAGTCAACTCAAAAGGGGATGGTGGCGAAAAGTTTCCTCAAAAGTTTCCTCTGAAGCAGATCCAGCGATTCCCGCGTTTCATAAGGGGAGAAAGGAGAAGGGGTAGCCTGAGATCTGTACTGGGCACCTGCTGACGCCCCCTGCCTTATGGTCCATGAACCAAGCCGCACAATGGCCCAGCATGCCATCACCATCACCTACCCTTCCCTTGGCCTTCCACCTAAACAGCCATGGCGTTTTTCTTCTCCCTCTGCCACTTTCTGAGCTGCCAGGCCTTAGGCTCAAGGTAGCCTGCCAGGAATGTGCGTGCCTCACTCGAGAGCTGCACTGCACTAACCTTGGAACTTATTTTTCCCCACCCTTAAGCTTCCTTCTATGCTTTAGGTAGGAGTGGGGCTAGCATGTGTTGGTCTCAGGAGCCTTGGCCAAAGGGCTCTAGGCGCTGTTAATAATCAACTGCACTGTACACTTGTTTCAACTACTTAATTTCTTACTAGTGGCTTGACACTCAAAACGCTCCCTCCATTCTTGGCAGCATTTTCTTCTGGAAGATCCAAGTAGAATCCCTGCCAGCCAGGGGATTGATCATGCTCAATGTTTTACCAACAATCACCATCAACAGCTGCAATAACAGCTACCGTTATCACCATAAGCAGCCCAGCTATTGTGTCAACCGGTTCGAGTCCACAATGTCAAATAAATTACCAGCCAGCACTCAACATATAACCCAAATGCATGTCAATGCCTCCTGCCTATTTCCACCCCACAAACAAGCACAGCATCAAGGCAATGCTGTCCCAACAAATTTACCGGTAGCTACGCTGCCCGACAACTAAGGAAGCATTGCCGTGATGCCATGCTGCCTGATGACCAATCCACCTCGCCAGCCAGGAAGTCCCAACCCAACCAACCACTGTACGGTATACCAAACTGCCCAGGCACGAGTCACACCCAAGTAATCCCCTATTGCTAGTGTACCATCCATGCAGCCCTTGCCTATGCGTGCCACGGGATGCAGCCTTCGCCTGTGCCGCCCATGGAGCCCTCTCCCGTGCCGCTCGTGCAGCCCTCCCCTATGCGTGCCACCCAATGCCGCCCTGGCCTATGCGCGCCACGCAAGGCACTTGCCGGGCTTGAGGGAATCCCCATCCCCCTTCTGCAGGCTCTTGGGCAGGATGACGTCATCCACCCCATGCACCTGCACCACTCGCAGCGAGATGACGTCAGGCGCCACAATGGAAGCTCTCTGGGGGCCGCCCATGGCCTCCACTTCGACTGGCTGGGCCCCGCGAGCTGACACCTTCACCAGACGAGCCTTGCACGCGCCTGCTGCTGCCTTGAGCTGCAGATAGGGGAAACCAGCACATGATGGGAACGCGATTAGGCAGGGAGAGAAGAAGATGGTGTTGGATGTGATGTGGCATGATGCGGCATGGAAGCACATGGCATGATGCGGCATGGAAGCACATGGCATGCGGCAGCCCCACATCGCGCAGCACCTTGTCGTCCCTCACCTCGCCCCTCAGGCAGCCGCAAGGCGCTCCTGTTGCTCAACCATCGAGCTCTCACCTGCTTCCCCTGTGGCAGCGCCGCCAGAGCCGAAGCCGTCAGTTTCTTCTGCGCCACGTGCAGCAGCACCACCTCGCGCAGCACCTTGGCGTCCTTGATCGCCTTCCTCGTGTCGTTCGACAGCTCCTCGAACGCCGAGTCCGTCGGCGCGAAGAGCGTCGCCTCGTAGCAGTTGAAGAGCGCGGGCAAGTCATCGTCGAGATCTGACGAGTGCAGGGAGGGGTTGAGGGAATGGACTCGGACGGTTAGTAACCAAGTAGTAAGCGTGTCACTTCTTCAAGTGTCTCTCATTCACAGCCCTGTCCGCAAGTCATTGTCGAGATCTGAGAGTGGCTGTTGAGTGACGATTGTTGGACAATTCGGGAGCAAGGTGGTGGCAGATGAGTGAGGTAAAATTCACACAGAATTGGTATTAGCGAGGCGCAGACTCAGTGGCTGTCGAATCAAGACAGCTCATCTTCGTCTCTCACCTGTGGTCTTGAGCGCGGCGCGCAAGGTACTGTGGTTTCCAGCCTTGGTGAGCTCGTTTTCGAGGTTGAGAGCGACAGCCCGGGCGCCAGGACAGCTCGTACTAAGATAATCGTGGTCCATTCAGGCTGAATCGTCAATCGTACCTGTCGTCTTGAGCGCGGCGAGCAGGGTGCTGTAGTTTCCAGCCTTGGCGAGCTCCGTCACGAGGTTGCTCACCACCTGCTTGCCATCGAAACGGCAGTACGGGCGCGCTGCCTCCGAGACCGAGAGAGAGAGGCCTAAGACTGCCAGCATTAGTAGCGCAGGGATGCAGGACACTCGAGAAGCCATGACGGGTGACGAGAAAGCGAGGTTTTGGCGGAAAGCGACTGGAAAATTAATGCGACTCGATTAGAGGAGCTGGGAAAACGATCGGCAACTCGGATTTGGCAGAATGGTTGAGTGCTAGGGGGAATCGATCGGGAGAATTTGGCGTGGGATGCGTTTGCGAGGTGATGAAGTGAGAATGATATGGGGGCGAATTTATGCAAAGCTGGAAGGCGATGGAATGGAACATTGGCGATTTGAGGAATTGAGGAATGCGGTTCGGCGAAGGCAGAATGCGGCTCGCTGGAAGCGTCTCGCACCGCACCTCCTTCCCCAGTCCTGACCACACCACACCACCCAGGCAGTATCAGCGCGCCGTCAAATAAATGGAGCACAGAACATGACCGTCAACAAATCTACCAATGGAAGCCCCTGAAAGTGCTTCAGCGACAGACGAACTGGTCGGTGATTCCAAGGTTTCTGACGGTGACCGAACCGAACCAGTCTGGTATGGTTGGGACAGCAGCAGGCGGGAAGACGCACGGCGCCTCTTGCGGGCTGGATTTGGGGTGCTGCACTCGATGCAATCATATGCCATCGAGAAGTTGCGGTGTATAAATCCTGCTCTATTTCAAATGCCAACTCACTTTCCTACCATGTGCCAAATGAATCATAACGGAGGGCTAAGACGAAAATGAAACACATACATGAATCAACATTCCTCCTAATTAAGCACGTTCTTCATCACCTCATCAAGGGTTGCTACTATGCCTCAAGGGCCGGCCCTTAAAACCGCGGTACACATTCAACGCGGCTCGGGATGGAAATGTAGAGGTCAAGAAAGGGGGATGGAAGTGAGTGGAGGGCAAGAGGCGATAGGGAAATATTGACGCTAATTGGGCTGCGTTTCGTAGAGGGAAATTTTGACTTGTGATACTGGGGGGAACGGATTTGTGTTGGGGGATTGAATTTCGCGGGGTGGGGGGAATCGAACTTGACGGGGGAAATTGGAATAGCGAGGGATAGGGGGAACCGAGCTTGACTGGGGGGGAATTGGTCTAGCGAGGGGAAGGGGGAAACGAAATTGACAGGGGGAGTGTCAAAGTTAACGAATGACTCGAAAGGTGGGATACAAGGGAATATAACCTAGTGAGTTGTACTCTCTAAGGCACAACCCTATATCATCTATAACAAACATCCTAAGATATGTTTGACACACTCCCTAGACTGGATAGGGGCAGTGCCTGATGAGAGACAAGCAGTTCAGGATGGCACTACTAGTCCAACCTCTGAGACAAGGGTCTGAAGACCAGTCAAACGAGTACAGACAAGGCAAGAGCAAAATCAGGGCGGCACTACTAGTCCAGCCACTGGGAAGAGGCCACAAGGCCAGTCGGGGTAATATATATAAAGGTCTGTACACAATCAAGGTCCTAGCAAAAGAGAGGTTTCAGGAACAAGACCAAGCTGTACACAGTGCCGCTGATGATCTTTAGGCGCAAGCGCCTTCGTAAAGATATCAGCTGTGTTAGCACCGGAGGCCAAGTGTACTAGGCGGGCATGGCGACGTTGCTGTAGCTCGCGCAGGAGGAAGTACCGCAGCTGAATGTGCTTCGATCTGCCCTCGAGTCTGGGCTCCTAACACAGGAGGATCATGGCCCTGTTGTCAGCGTACAGGACCGGGGCAGAGCTAGGCCGCTCACCTAAGTCTGTGAGCAAGAAAGTCAGCCAACGGAGCTCCGGTGCTGCCATGGCACCAGCGTAGATCTCAGCCTCACAGCTAGACTGGGCAACAGACGACGAACGGGTGGACGGCCACGAGACAGCACCTGCACCAAGGTTAAAGCTCTAGCCCTAAGAGGACCAGAGCGTCTCGGCGTCGTCGGCCCAAGAAGCGTCTGTGTGTCCGGTAAGGACCACTGGTCTGCGTCCTCCTAGCACTAACCCCAAGCCCGATGTCCATGCTAGATAACGCAAAACCCTCTTAGCTGCCGACCAGTGCTGAGGTCAGTGTCTGCCGGTGGCCATAAAGCGAGCAAGGATGCTGAGAGGGTATGCGAGGTATGGACGAGTGCATGTCATCAGGTACATGAGGCAACCCACCAGTTCTGCATAAGGGCCACTAGGCTCTACAGCCTCCTCTGAGACTCGAGCAGAGAGTCTGTGGTCTACTGGCACAGGGGTGGGCTGTGCGGAAGAGAACTAAAGGCCGAACCTCTAAAGGACCTGGCGCACCAAGTGTGATTGCGAGAGAGTGATAGTGATAGGACGATTACGAGACGGATGACGAGACCAGACGTGAGACGGAGGAGTAGGGTCAGGAGAGAGGGGGGAGACAGAGGAGGAGAACGGGGAGGGAAACGAGCTGGTGAGGAGTCCGGAGGAGGAAACATTGGGTCGTAGACCGGCGGGGGAGGAGGCGGCGGCGTCGGAGGAGGCACCGGCATGCAGACAGGGGAAGGAAGATGGGGTCAGCTAGGCTACGGGGCCATATGAGGGACGGAGCCGGCTAGGCAATGGGGCCGGCTGTGCAACGGGGCCGGCTGGGCGACGGGGCCGGTTAGGCGACAGGGCCGGCTGGGCAAAGGGGCCGGCAGGGCGACGGGGCTGACGAGGCGACGGGGCCGGCTGGGTGACGGGGCCGGCTAGGCGACGAGGTTGGCTAGGAGGCGTGGTCAACTAGGAGGCAGGGCCGGCTGGGCTACGGGGCTGGCTAGGCGATGGGGCCGGCTTGGCGACGGAGCCGGTCAGGCGACGGGGCCGGCTAGGCAGCAGGGCTGGCTAGGAGGCGGGGTCGGCTAGGAGGCGGGGCCGGATGGGCTACAGGGCCCGCTAGGCGACAGGGCCAGCTGGGCGACGGGGCCGGCTGGGCGACGGGGCCTGCTAGGCGACGGGGTCAGCTAGGAGCCGGGGCCGGCTAGGAGGCGAGGCCGGCTGGGCTACGGGGCCGGTTGGGTGACGGGGCCAACGAGGCGACGGGGCCGGCTAGGCAACGAGGCCGGCTAGGAGGCGGGGCCGGCTGGGCTGCGGGGCCAGCTAGGCGACTAGACCGGCTAGGCGACGGGGGCCACTAGGGGACGGGCCAGCACGGGCGGGAGGTGAACGGGGCGGCTAGGACCTAGGGCGGAAGCGCTAGTGGGGGGGGGGGGGCTAACCTACTCGTGATACCATGTCAAAGTTAACGAATGACTAGAAAGGTGGGATACAAGGGAATATAACCTAGTGGGTTGTACTCTCGAAGGCACAACCCAATATAGTCTATAACAAACATACTAAGATATGTTTGACAGGGAGTTGGACGAGCGAGGAGTGGCAGGGGGGCGCGAATTTTGGGGGGGCAGGGGGGAGTTTCGAAATTGGAGGGCCAGGGGGAATTGAATTTGAAGGGGCAGGGGGGAGTTTCTAAATCGGGGAACCGTGGAGAATCGAGATTGTTGGGGGAAGGGGCGATCGAAAACGTGGGGGAAAACAAGAGGAAAGGGGGATGAGTCTACACGTGGCGATCGGGATTGTCAGTACACAAATGCCACAATCCCCCCTCAAATGTTTATCTGCAGGTATCGAGACCTCGCCACCTCCAACAGGCATCACTCAGTTACCATTGTTTCAAATGATTATCACTTGAAACAAATTGAAGTGAATGTGTATCGCGGCTTTAATATACGTGGTCCAACTCTACCAAACAACACTCGCATCCCGCCATCCCTGCAATGGCGATACAACATGAGGCATAACGATGAGATTGTAAGAGAGAATACACAAGGTGATAACTGTTGTATATGTGTTTAAACAGAGTAGCGCGGAATCTAATGTCAAGGTTCAGAATGTGGTACAATGGAATGACGAGGCAAGATATAGGAACACTAGAGCAATCCTAGCCGCGTGATCGAACAGGTTCGTAGAAGGCATCCGAAGACGCAAAGCGCTTCGGAGTGACGCAGAAATGGTTCGGTTGCGTGTTCGGGCGTTAAAAATGTGTTTTCATACGCAAACATCGATGCAGCTATTTTCGTCGAATTCCCTCACACTTACGGCGACAGACTACACATCTGCAAGTTACAGTGGCGGAAAAAATTGCCCGGATGTTTAGCACTTTGAAACATATCGATATGGCACACTTGTTTCGAAAATAGTAACGCCATATTTTTCCCGTCCTGTTACAAGGTTTTCGAGTTCTGCTTCAACCGTTTCTTGCTTGGCGCGATTGTGATACAACCGAAAAGCGGGGTTGAAATTTACTCCACGGCTGTCGATGCGGACATTTCATACCGAGCGACAGACTAGATCTATTTTCGCCCGTCACTCGGTGTGCACATCGTCACGCGCAACAGCTGCTAGTCTAGGAGTTAGTCCTGAAGCGAACATACGACCGCATCGCCATGAAGCCGGTAAATGACAAGAAGTGCGCGCGAATCATAAGCATGTTGCGTGCGGGGCATTCGACTAGGAAAATAGCCAAAGTTCTTGGCATAGGCAAGAGCACCGTGCACGATTACGGTCTGAAAGCGGCTACCGAGACTAGTCGCGAGGAGGTGCGACCTACGATGCCAACGGCCGGCCGCCCCCGCTTAATCACAACCCGACTCCAGCGCGGAATAATACGAGCGGTTACAAGCGGCGAGGCGAAATGCAGTGTAGACGCGGCTAAGATGTTGTTGGAGAAGCACGATCTGGCCGTAGAGTCGAAGACGATCAGGAACTCGTTACGATCCGCGGGCTTGGTCGCCGTGCAGCAGCCCAAGAAACCCAGGCTCTCACCGAAAAACATACGAGATCGTCTCGATTTCGCGAGGTCGCATGCCGACTGGACGCTAGAGGACTGGGGGCGGGTGATTTGGTCTGATGAGACGAAGATAAACCGTTTCTGCTCTGACGGACGTGCGTACGCCTGGATTCGCGAGGGCACCAGCCTTCGGAGCCATCAAGTCCAACAGACAGTTAAGCATGGGGGCAGTTCTGTGATGGTGTGGGGTTGCATGACGTATGAGGGGGCGGGGTTCATGTGCAAGATAGATGGCAGGATGGATGGGCCGCTGTATCGCAGCATCTTGCAAGATGAGCTCAAACAGACCATCGATTTTTCAAGCTCCCCCCCTCATAGGTCATTTTCCAGCATGACAATGATCCCAAGCACAGGTCTCGTCTAGTCCAAGACTGGCTTGCGGAGCAGGAGTACGCAGTG